TGATACAGTGAGGCTAAAAGAAGACAGCCTTGATTATATTGTTATAGTACTGTATTGGAAGTTGTTGTTACAGAATTGGAAGACTTCATGCTGATTGAAACAGGAAACAGAGACAGGGAGGAATGTCAACAAATTAATTAGTGGTGATAATTATGATTCGATCAAGCTTTGGGCCAGGATCATAAAACAAGGGGAAAAAAAATAGTTGCAGCACAGCAGTTGCTAAATTGTAGTTATTTCATTTGGAAAAGGGTAGATGAGAAATTACTGAGAAGGCCTGGGCTTCCAGAAACTTGCTGGAAGAAGAACTAGAGAACAGGGAGTTAGTATTTAACAGGGGAAACTTTAACAAAGAGACCTGAAAGAATAAATCACAACAGAAACCAGTGATAACAACAAGGACTTCAAAGCAGAAAAAAGATTGCTAGATGGACTGTGAAGGAACTGGCTGAGATGAAGCCAGATGGAGCTCTGGTTTGAAGAGAAGTTCACTGAAAACTTATTTTTAGGGAAGATTCTCTTAAATAAAAAGGACCAAACCAAACATGTAAGAGATAAACATAGTTATGGTATGTTAATGTTTTACTCTTTAAAAAAATGATTAGCTAATTTCTAAAATTCTGTTAATCTATAAAGGATCCAGATGTGATATTAATTCTATGCCTCTTCCTCGGTTTACTGAAATTCAGTCAGGTTAAGAGAAGTTATTGGGAGCATTTTTTTTTTTTAATTCAGGCCTAGAAAGGACTGGTGACAGGGAAAACCTTAAATTTTAAAAAGGAGAATGCAGACTGGTGCTCGGGTCAGGATAATCTAGGAGGTAAGAAGTTCATTGAAAAATATCAGAAGGTTTAATGGATTTTGACAGTAGAGCCCAGGAACCTTCCTAGTGCCATCAAAGTCAATTTTAAGGTTTCAGTCTTTCCTGCATCAGAGGTCCAATTAGATAGTAATACTGCTATACAAGAAAGAACATAGGAAGAACAACAAATAGTGGATATTTTGGCACTTAGTTCAGAGATTTAAGTCCTTACTTACATTGTTAAAATAATTTTATGTACCTACATGCAATTTATATTTCTACACTAATTATTTATTTTTCTTTTCTCCTTTTACTTGCTTGGTTCTGCTGCAAAGCATGCTATCTGATCAGGTGATAAAGGACTCTTGAGGAGCTGACTGGTCCTAATTGTTGCTTCATTTTTGGCTCCTTAGTCTGAGAAACTCGTTATAACAGCTATCATCTGTACACTGGACAACCACTTTTGGAACTTTTCTTTAGTTACAATTTCTGTGATCTAGACCTTGGCTGTGGCCTGATTTCTCTGGTTCTTCCAACAGAAACAATAATATTGACTAATACTGTTATTTAATGGCCACATTCATATGACAAAGTGAACCATGTGAAGAGCTTCTGGTTTACCACAAAGGAATCACCTGACCATTTTTGCATGCAAGAATAGCTAAATAAATCAAGAACAGTTCATTTGTCATGACATGTGAACCATGACTTCTGATTTCTGTGGTCAAGCTTATTCACTACTCCTGGCAGAAATGACTGCAAACTATTTGTTCGTGGTAAGCTTGAAATCTGAGATATGGAAATATTACCATTAAGTTCTGATCCACTGGGCAAAGTAAAAAACCTTTTTCAATGCTTTACTTGTTTTTAAGAGGCTTGTTTTTAAACATAAATATGTATGTTCTCTTGCACGTATGATCAAATTAAGAGCTTACCTTTTACTGGACAATATCCAGTTAAAGAGTCTTTATCCACATCTGGAGTTGTTCCACACCAAAGCCGGCTGTGTTCATCATCATTAGCTATGCATTTAGCATACCATTTATTCACATACTTGAAAGGAAATACACAAGGAGCTCCAAAAGCGTTGCCTTCTATCGTAAATAGAGCTGTAAAAAAATCGAATATATTCATGTTAGATTGAGAAGTACTGAAATGAGAATAGAAATGCTATACAAAAATACCTCAATATAAATTCTGAGGCACACATACAGTTTGTGTACAGTACACGTAACCATGTTTACCTCCTTCAGGGAACAATTTTGAGCACTCATGTCTTAAAATACATGCCATTTTTTTCTCAGCTGAAGTAAAAGGAACTTCAACATATCTACTATGTTAAAGGAAAGTTATAAAGTGAGTAATATTATAATTTGAAATTATATTTTTAGTATCCAATTTATTTCAGTTTTCAGGTAAAGAGATTCAACAAGGAAGAAAAGGATTCAGGTGACCAAATTCAGCAAAAAGGATTAATTTTCTGATATTTACCTTCATATTTTTGGGCACACAGGCTCTCCTTTTTTCCATAGATCTTCCAAGCACTTTTTATGGTGGAGTTGTTTGAAAGGATAATCCCATCCCTACGTCCGTTAGCAGGATGTAAAAACAGATCTTGGTTTTGAAGGGCAAGAAGCGTGTCATTTATGCATTCCCATTTCTGTAATTCAGTGGTCTCATTACATGGTGCCAGTGTGAGTGGAACCATGTTTGATTTTGAAGACACACTCAGGCATAACTTCACTGCCATACTCAATAACTGATAATCAGAAACCCACTTAAAATTTTGCCACTCATTTTGCTTGTTGCAGATCTCGAAGATGAAGGAACGAGATTCTTCAAGTTGTAGACAAAGATTAAGATTTTCATTGTATATCAAAAAAGTGTCTGTCTCTATAAAGTGAACCAAATAATATTAATAATAATAACACCAACTACTACTACAGTAATAACATCCATGCTGTTGATATCTATATGAGGCTATCATTTTTTTCCATGAAAAAAGTATACTTTTATATGATTGGTTTTTTACTGCTTTTCTTACCTACTATACAATTTACATGTTAAATCAATTCTATTGTAACTCAGGTTTCATCAATTTAAATTTAACTCTTTTTATTATTTATCCATATTACAATATACAAACAAGTAGAAAAAGAGAAAAATATTTTTTAAAAACGTATAAAAAAGAAAAAATACTTTATAACCTTAACTTCCAAAAGATTATTTAGACGTAATCAGTAATTATGGAGAATGCATCCATACTTTACTGTTGAAAAAATAACACAAATATAACTGAAGAACTATGACATTCCTTTTAATGGGAGACAGAATAAAAATAGTTTATTAAGTTAAATAATTGAATATATAAAATAAAGCTTACCTGGTATTTGAAAAGCTGGCTGAATGAGAAATAAAAGGTTTAGGAACAAAAAAGTAGGCATTGGAAACAATAAAACCTTCCACAAAGCTATCCTGAAATTAAGAACCAACTGAGTTAGCTTCTTCCGGCAACCTCCTTTACATATGAGTAAAGAAGAAAGAAATCTTTACTTCTGGCTTCAGTGTTACGAAATGTGTATTGTAATAAGCAGGACTATAAATAGTCTTTGGCTGTTGTGTAAAAGACGTATTTCCATAGAAATTGGTTTAGGAATTGATAGTGAACTCATCATTTGTACATATGTACATCCATACTGTACATGTCTATTCCCATGTACTATCCCTTTGAGAATAAGAAACATTATATATGAAATGAAATGAAATAATGTTTATTCAGTCAGTGACCAGCAAAATTTTAAAAAATACCACACAAAAGTAAAATCAAATGGGTGAGATAAAATACTAGCATAACAAGGAGTCTCTATTATAAATATATAACACACTGCTATGATGGTATATTAATTACCTGTGCAAGTATAAACCCAAAATATTACATCTAAAACAAAATACATCTAAAACAAGATGGCTAACATGTAATAAACCCGAAGTGATGAATAAAGGTTCCTCATGCATTTATCCATAAATAAATATATGAAACAATCAAGAGGGCATCATAAATCCTTATTTTACTCACTTTTTAGTGATGAACTCTTTACTAAGCATTTGCTTTATTATCCCACACTTGCATTATATACCACTTTTATCTCATTCAGCAACCAACTTTCTATAATTCAAATGAAACTTCATTTCTCACATTTATACATTTTTAGTGACATGCTGAACAGCAAAACTCTGGTCTTCCTACCGCCTGCAAGGCATAAAGCTATTTTACACTTCCAAAACTTCATTCATTCAACGTATATGCTGTTCCTTTTCCAAATAGCTTATCAATAAATATCATAAATACATAAGAATCAATCAAATAAGATTAAACATAGAACTATTAATGAGAATTATAATACCAACAGCCTTATAAGCCACTATTTGCAGACTCTTTATTTGTCTGCAAATGCCTTCCTCAAGAGTGATGTATTTCTTGGTTGATAGTATATAAGCAATGATGTTGTGGCTTGGAAGGTGTTTTCTAAATTAAAGAGCCTAGTTTGCATAGAAAATTTGGACATACTGGCCAAAATGTGTCCAAACTGACCAGTGCTGTTCTTACCATTAGCAGTGAATGATACATGTGGCAAGGCTGATAATCTGGTCTGCTCTTTTCTTTTTACTAAAAAGCATTATATGGTAGTCATCCATATAATGTCAATTCTCTTGGATTTCTACTCCATCTATTGACTCAGTGGAAAGAGAGAACACCAGTGTCTGCATTGGGCTGTTGAGGTCCACTGAACCATGATTCTCCTCATATAAACTGCTTTGATCATACCCTCCATACTGGGACATCTCTTGGGGAAGAAGCATTGAAGGGGCCTCCAGTAGAAAACCACTGGGTTGGCCATTCTAGTCCGGACAAGCATTTTGATTATGTCTGCTGACTGAGCCCCTGCTGCATACCTAAGTACCAGTAAGATGTCTGCTCAGCATCTCTGTATGCCCCAGCTGACTGATTGGCCCTCTCTAATCCTCTGGGTTGACTTTCACCCAGATCTCAGGTAACAACATTGAGTATCAACATTGAACTGGATTTCTGTGAATAATGCCTTCAACTGTTTATTCTTCCTCCTTCTTTCCCAGGTCAGAACACATAATTTGGTGAGCCTTTTCTTCTTTGCCTGTTGGCTAGCCTTTACACAACATAAAGAATCTATCATTGTAGCTTGCAGGATGCTTTGAAAACCATCTGCTTCAGGGCATCTTTCTCTTCACTGAATGGAGTTTCAAATATGCCATGCCAGATCACTTTCCAGTAGAAAACCACTGGGTTGGCCATTCTAGTCCGGACAAGCATTTTGATTATGTCTGCTGACTGAGCCCCTGCTGCATACCTAAGAGTCCATTGTTCAAATGCTGATCTGCAATGAGATCTTTGGGTACCAGTAAGATGTCTGCTCCAGCATCTCTGTATGCCCCAGCTGACTGATTGGCCCTCTCTAATCCTCTGGGTTGACTTTCACCCAGATCTCAGGTAACAACATTGAGTATCAACATTGAACTGGATTTCTGTGAATAATGATGCACACAATTAATCCTCAGCCTCTTGTGCCTCCTTTTTCCATTTCTTTCAGAGATAATTCTGAGCACTATATATGTTTTACCTAGTGACATATGCATCTTTTGGGACTGTTTCACATTTGCAGTCAGGAATTCAAAAAGAGCAAAATGCTTTTGTAGAACCCAAGTATTCTACCTTAATTTATTCCACCATCTTCAGGGACACTTACTATTTGCAAAGGTGTTTCTAAACTGGAAATCTGGACATACGAATGATCAGTGTATCATAAATATTGGAGTAGTATATAATGTCACACAACCCAAAGTCTCCTTTTGCAATACATTTACCTCCTTCTCATTCCATCCAGTTCCCTTACATGCCTTCAAAATCTGGAATTCCATTCCTGATATCACCCCACAATCACCAGTTATAGAGCCTTGTGGAAATTATACCCCTTTGGATAGTTACATATCTCATTTAGGCTTTTCTGCTAAACAGTGTGTCCCTGCTCAGAAATAAAATGAGGACTGCTGAATACCACATACGGACATTCCAAGAATTTGCCATTAGAAGTTCTGTCTGAAAGCAGACACGCTTAAGTTTAAGACAGCAAGTTCATTGTTTTAAAATCCACTTAAATTAGAAAACAAAAAACAAACTTTGCAAGAAATGTATTTTGTAACAGGATGTAACCATTTTCAACATCATGGGTGGAGTAAACTGTAACCAGGAAGCATAATATGCCTCCACTGCTGTTCAAAGTTGAGTGAAGTTGTCTGTCAAATGCCAAGTCTTTTTATGAAAGCCACTTCTGCAAAAATGTCAAAGTCCTGAGAGGCACAGAAAAAAGACATATTATTAAATTATTAAAGGCTGTATTGAATACTTCGTTTTGCTTCCTATTTTTAAATGATACATTAATTTAATGGCATGAGCTGCGAGAGCTCTGGGAGGCATCCAGGACAGGCTTGGTCTGCCTGCAGGATATTCCTATAATATGGGCCAACCATGAAGTGAGCTGAAGGTCATCAGTTCTAGTTCTTGGGGTTCCAGTAGTGACAAAAATGGGTTTGTAGTCTGTAGTGTAATGGCAATAAGAAGACTCGCAGGAAGGAATCTAACCAACCAGTTTATTTGAGGTAGGGGGGCGAGAATGGACAGACTTTTTTTGCATGAGTATAAAGAGAAGGCATCAGACTGAGAAATTGCTACGATGGGCAGTTGGTGCTTAGGGAGAGATCTTATCTCTATATGACCAAGCAGAATGTCTTTAGCTGGACTTCTAGGATCTAAGAGAAAATAAATTATTGGCCTTGGATGCAGAGGTGAATAGATGCACACTCTGTCCTAAGACAGGGGACCAAAAGTAGACAGAATCACAGCAGTTGGAAGGCCAGCCTGACCCTCTCCATCACCAGAAAAGGGGCAGTGGCAAGGAGCATCCTTCCCTGCTACCAGCTAGGAAAACCACTCATCTCCAAGTACTGGGATCCTGGGATTGCAGAGCTGAAGGAAAGCATGCATGTCTCTACTCTTCGGCTGGCGATTAAGAGGACCACTGGACTGTATATGTCAGTGTCATTGCTTTATTATAGTTTTATCATAGGTGCTGTTCTTTGCCCTCAAATTTATTTGATGAAAGCTGGTATAAATTGCTACATTTATTTTGGAAGTCTTTGAACTACAAGTACGTTCAGGACTTGGATGGGTCTGTAAGAGATTCTGCTTATCCATTTTCAGGTGACATAAATGTGGGAGAGATGGAACACCAGGCTGCAGCCAGCAAGGAGAAAAATCAGAGAGATAAATTTACAATTGTATTTCAAAAAAAAGTCCAGTAGAGAATGGGTATTTGCGACAATAAAAAGGGAGATCCAGCAGACCACCAACTGATAAAAAGGTGACCTCTTTGCTGGCTAAAGACCATAATAAACTAATCTATCTAAAAATGGACCACTTTAGGACCAATCTGTGTGAAGCTGATCTTGAGAAAGGTTCTGCAAGCATTCTAGCCCTCATCCAATGAAGGGAGAACCATATGCTAACTAGTCCTGGTGGTGAATTCCCTTTATGCTCTATGCATGGGAAGGAGAAATGGGAAACAGTATTTCTAGGCATATAGGCTGTCTGTGGAATTTAAAATCCTAATATGTATAGGGTCATGGGGCCAGGCAACAGTGATTTGATGGAAGATAGAGAGGGGAGCAAGCACATTTCTAGTCTCTCAGCTAATTGCATGAGGGCATTAAAGACTGAATCTCTCTTGTTCTATTCTATCTAGAATATAGTCTCAAGTCTGAAATGCCATATTTTAAAGAAGAATTCCTTCCAATAGTTTGTAACAAATTGAATGGACAAATTCTCTCATGATCTACAGGGTAGGGCTAGAGTGAAACAATGGAAATTAAGCTAAATGTTAAGCTAAACATTTGGATGGTGTATTTATTTCTATGACCTCCAGGTACTGCTGAACTACAACTCCCAACAGCTCCAATCAGAATGGTCAGTGTTGAGGTTGCTGGAAATGGATGCTTAGCAACTCCTAGAGGGCCTCAGGTTCCCGCATCCTGCTGGGAGAAAATTCCTGAAAGCAGGAGCTCTTGGACAGTGGCATAGATTATTTGGAGAAGTGGTAGGTTCTCAACTGATGGAGATGCTTCATCTAAAGCTGGGCCTGCTTCGGAGCAGTGTGTGTGGGGGCGGGGGGAGTGCACAGCATTTGGCTACAGTACAGTATTTTGCAGCAATTGGTGCTTCTGAAGTAATGCCTGTTTCCTGCTTTCAGAAATCTGAACCACAAACCAAAAAGGGGGAAAGAGGAGAGAGAGAGAACCGAAAGTTAAAAAGCTTCCTGAAAAATTGGGAGCAGTAATTCAATATGACACAAATGGCGATGCTTGTTTTTCAATGAGT